TGTTTTGGAGTGGGTCCTATTTAGCTAGTTTTTTTTCGATGCCTATTTCAATTTTGCAATCAAATAATAATAAATGAGCATAAAATATTACATTAAATTCAAAAATATATTAAAMGTGTAGGTACCTATACGCTAGGTATGTGTTGTAATTGATATTTAATGCGCACGCTTCACAATTATAGTTATTTCGTAAAAGTAAAATAGTTGATTAATAGGCTTTACATTTGTATGGTGTTTTGTACATTAATAAATAATAATATACAATAATTGATACCGAACAGTGCGTATAATATACATTATGTTTTATGCTTGTAATATTATCCATACAAATCAATCATAGAAATAAATACCATGCAATTTATTTTCTCAAAAAACTATAGTCCGTATAATAGTAATTATAACACTATTAGAAACTTTTGACTTTTCCCTCCCTGCSTAACCGAATTTTTACTTCTGGGGGTGCACTTGATTTTAGCTAGTATTTGAAGTATGAAATATTTCTTTTTGAAATATTCCTTTACGCGATGAAATATTTCGCAAAAACGTGAAACATTGAAATTTTTCTAAYACAATTAATATTGATGATGATAATAATAACCTATAACCAAAGAAAACCATCACTAATAAGTAGTTAGTGATTGTTTTTCTTAATAATATGAAATTTTTAGGGTAATTTATGATAATTATACGTAAAAATAAAACTTATATATATTATATTATTGAAATGTTTCACAATTTTGAAGCTCATGAAATTTTCAGACATTAATAATAGTAGCACGTAAAACTATTATAGAAATATTCTTACTTATGCACGGATGATTCTGCAGTGTATAATTTATTTTATGATATGTATTGTAGAACCACTATATTTGAATATTGTTTTTCTGCATTTATGTTGCTATTTTGCCGGTTTTTACATTTTATTTGTATAATTCATAATTTTTCTCTACCTGTAGCTTGCCAAAATCAGGGTTCTGTTAATCTGTAAAAATATATACCAATCTTATCTAAAGCAGGTACCTAGCTTCTTGTGATTTTTAAAAATCGTCATGAAATATGCAGACATAATTTGGAACACATTCGGAAGTTCTTTCTTTTATGCATATATRTAAACGTAAGTTACTGTCCCCTTAGATAAAAATTCYCAGCGAGAAATAAGCACCCGATTTTCTTTGAATTTTTCATTATTTTATAATTTGAGCATCAACTATTGTATTATGATTTTTGTTACTGATACGAACATATTAATTATAACATCAATGTATTTTAATGATTTCTACTGTTTGAAATCTATATGAAAAAACATAATATAATAATCATATAATACCTAAATCTGCCTAATGTGTTTTGATAATATTGACTTTCAGACGCACTCAAAGGGTTCCGGTCGATGAGTATACCGAAAACACAACCCGAAAAAGTACGTACCTATATAATATTATTATTATTTAACATCGTGAATAATTTAATAAGGTCAGTTGTAATTATTTTTAATTTTGTCCGTTACAGTGTATGATGGGTTGTCTGATGAGAAAAGTCAACGTGGTAAGTGCCTACATAATAATACTGTTAAAAAACAATATTTTTCGTATACGAACAAACGAAAAGCCTCCATAACAACACARCGTAGGTAACGTGAAATTAATTATTTGTGTTAAGATTAACAACGGCAAGTTTTCGGTTGAAGAGGCGACCAAGGTTGCACAAAAATATTACGGGACGAACGAAACGATGATGAAAAAGGCAAAGGACCTCATCGACGTTTGCGCGAAGAAAGGTATGGCTACRAAGCTACGATAATATCATAATAATCGTACTSGAAATATTTTTGTCGAATAATTCATATAAACAGCAGAAATACGCGTATACGACTTCAAAATAAATTAAAAATTAAACATTTWGCATAACAGAACGTCATTATAAATTCCGACCCCTTTTACGGTTAGATTAATAATTATTATTTTTATAATAGTTATAAACATTGAAGTCTAAAGTTTGAATACATAATAATATATAAAATATTTAACGTTTAAATTTAAAACATGCGTATTATGCGTAATGTAAGATGTTTCGGAATTCTAAGTTGGTGGRAAAAAAATAGGTCTGGCTACTTTAATTCGTTTAATTTTGGAGATGCCATTTATAAACTGTGATCATATTAAAATATGTAAATTAAATACACATCTTTGCTTTAGGGTTAATATGATTATGACCTTAAAATCTCTAGAAAATGCATACAAATTTGCATAAAAAATATCAAAGTATGTCCTTAAAACAATCAAATTAGGTACATTATAAAATACATTTAAAAATTATATTATTCGTTATCATTTTTAATAGACTATTAATAGTAACTACGCGTTTCATATTCGAGTGAGCTTTGACGTCTCTAGTTAAATAAACTTAACACGATTTTATTGCGTTAAAGAACACATCAACATAATAATAATATGAACATGGTAAATAAAATAATAAAAATATATACTTTTTTAAAATGTTCTTCGAAATCTGAACTTTAAGAAAAATGACCCACATATTTACATAAAGGACATGTGAAAAATTTCATAGAAAACCGAAAATAWGCATCTTAAAGATAAAATTAAAACATAGAAAGTAATCTGAATACGATTTAAAACAACCTACTGTTTCTACATAATATTACCAATTGAATTTTTTATTAATTTGGTCAARACCAAAAAAATTCAATACTATTGCATGTAAATAACCAAACCTTTTCCATTATAAATGATAGGTATTATTTTATTTTATTTTCCGACAATAATTTTAATATGTATATTTGTTTTTTTTTGCCTGCAATTTCAGCTCAATCGACGACTGAAGAATGCGCGTTGGCCGGAATCGTGACAACTTGTATCGTGGAGGAAGCTCAAAAAGTAAGTCCGTACAGATATGTTTTGTGATTTAAATATCACCAACAATGACATTGTCAAATGCTCAAACTCACATATTACCAATATGTCGTGTTATGTCACGTCGTAAAAATGGCTAGGATGAAATGTTATTTGGATCTTGAGTGGGCCCATCTGTCAATCTATCTATATAATATTATCATGAAATCAAAGTACCGTTGTTTTATATTTTGAAACGCGCAAGCGAAACGTTTTCCCATAGTCATCATATCAGAAATAATTCAAATAAAATATTAATATTATAGTAAAGATAAAATACCAACCTCTATTATTACCATGTTTAGCTAAGTGGTGATTTCCAATAATTATCCAACATGYCGTGTTCATAACTATTTTATATCTTTAATTTATTTAATTCTTTTTATTATTATGGGTCATATAATTTTTTGAAATATTTACTAATTTGAAAGAATGGGACTCTAAGAATTATGGGATCCCGTGCCCCTTTGATCAACCTTAGTTAGTTAGTTCTGAATCAGTCTGATACAATTTCGTGAATGTGTGTAGGTACCGCGTGCGATTAGTCTGTAAATCGATAAAACGACAGATAAACGGTTCATCGACAACAAAAACGTATTGTTTAGTTAATGACGATTATCATGTTGTAATATTTTGATTAATGTTTTMATTTTTGTTACAGGCGGGCTTAAGTGGTGGACCTGGCGGCCGCCCCAAACGAACCGTTTCACCGAAATTCAGACGCAACGTCATGTAAACTATTCACGTCGTTCCTACGATCATTTAAACGCTGTTCGCCTATTATAACTATAAACTATTATACTAATTAATTTTATACCAAATATCCTTGTACATCGTGTTTACATGGCCGTCAATAAACATTTTATTTAAACCACAACCATTATCCTACATGTCTTGCGTTCGTTGTAGAAACTCATCCCTGCGCMCTTACAATAGTTACAATATCACTATTATGTCCTGGTGAGAAGTTATACATGGCATTATATTCCAACTAAAGACGCATATCTATAGTGTCGATCATAGGGAATAGGAGTATGGAGGTGCTATACATATTATATGAAATGTCACGAGCAACTGAGCATTTCAAAAGTTGGACATTGAAAAGGAYATTTATTTCATTGAAATTTATTTAAATATTTGTTTAATAATTAGTGAGTAACTGATACCACTTACCAACTTATTTGATGATTATTAGTGTAAAAATACAAATGAAATAGAAAATTCAAATATTTCAAATATTTC